GCCGTTTATTATAATGATATGAAAATTCTAAATATCGGTGCAAATGCCTGGTCGACCATTCAACCAGATTCTAGCTTCCCACTTCCACGAATAGATTATACTGCCACGCTTTTAGGTAATGGTTTAATTGTCTATATTGGCGGAAGAGAGTTTGTCAATAATTCCACTCTCAAGATTGTTGATTTAAGTCAGGTAATACTTGACAAGAAATTAATTATTAGAAATGAAGTATTATCTATTTTATTAATATGTTCTGTAATTGTGATTAGCTAAAGCTTTTTAATACAAAAAATTTAACCTGGTCTTCGATGGTGAGAATTGTAACGTAATATATAGACAAACCAATTAATTCACATACTAACATATATTTAATACAGAATGTTACTGGTGTTAATTCAAACAAACGTGAGATCAATACTCTACAGGCGCGTCTGCATCATACAGCCGTACTCAGTGAGTAGATTTTATATTCGCAAAAATGTTTTTGAGACCAGTTCTAAAATGTCAAACTTTAATTTTAAAAGCAAAAAAGGGTCAAATAATTATTTACGGTGGTGAAGATTTAAATTCCACTATAGTCGAACCTAACCTTGTGGTGTTGGATACAACCGGAAAAACATTTACTTGGAATATTCCATCTATTTCCACTGGTCCATATGATCCACCACCTTTATCGGAGCATTCGGCTACTTTATACGGAGATACCATGATTATTGTCTTTGGTAAAAAATATACACATAAATAAAAAATCACGTCGTTTATTTCTAATAACCACTAAGCCAATGCATTTTTTAATTAGGTTACATTACAAATAAAGAAGGAGTTACCTCGAATCTAAATAATAACTCATACATTCTGGATACTACGAACTACACTTGGGTCGGTTCATTTGTACCCACCAATGATAAGACTTCGTCTACTGCTACATTCTCATCAGTAACATCAACTCCGTCTGAGTCATCTGCCATTACAACATCGACTCCATCTGCAGCTCCAACTGTCACATTAACGACATCAATATCGTCTGAGGTACCTATTGTGACAAACACACCAATTCCACCTCAAGAAACAACCACAACTCCATCCATTGTGACAAATACAATATCAACTCGACCTCAAGAAACAACAACTTCACCTATTGTGACGGACACCACATCGACTCAAGAAGCAACAACTTTGCCTATTGTGACGGACACCTCATCAATTCAAGAAACAACAACTTTGCCTATTGTGATATCAACTCAAGAAACAGCGTTATTATTATCAGCCACAGCTCCACTAAAAACATAGGCATTTCCATTGTTATCTACAACAGCATTCATTTCTTGTCGCTTGCTTGGTGCTTCGCCATTTAAACCTGGAGTATCCCATTTTGCATTATTGGAGTTAAATGTATATACAGAATTATTGAAATTCGGCTGACCCGTAATCGGATTTCTCATGAAACCACCGATTAAATAAATAGTTGTATTATCAAGAGGGCTAACAACTGAGGTAGAAAAGGAAGGAGAAATTGGAATATTTGCTCCATTTAAAGATTCCCATGATGGACTATTGGTCGAGAATGAGTTAGATAGGTTTAGAATAAATACTTCGTTTGAATAATTGGAAGCACGATTATTCCCGCCCATGTAATAGACATTATTGCCGATTAGATTCTGTGTTTGACCAATTCTTGGCTGAGGCGTAAAACCAAAAGTTTTCGAAATAGAGAACAAAAGTAAGAAAACTAAACTAATATACATTTTCATATTGAAGCCCAGTTAATATTTGAAAAAAGGACGATACCGTATGTTATATACATTTTTATCATCTCTTGATAGATCAAGTTAAGTACTGCAATGAAAAATTTCGATTCACATACGCGGTAGTTCATTTGTTAAATGTTCAAAGCTATGAGTACAATAATGTACTAATGAATGTTAAAAGAAAAAGAGATTTGAATTTACATTATGCATGTTTTAAAAAGCGATCAAAACAGGTGTAATGAATTCCGTAAGTAAATAATGTTACATAAGTATATGTAAGTATGTAATATTAGATTCTAATTTTTAAGGCTGTGGGCTAACCGGTGAGTCGTCATTAACTCCGACCAGAATTTCTTGTGACCCGCAATGCCAAGAAAAAGTAAAAATGGGATTAAGGCGTAACTATTCTTCTTTATTCGTTTATTTTTAGTGTACATAAAAAATGAAGCCCGTTGATTGATGATCTTCGTATAAAACCTACATTGTTCGTGTAAAATGTATAGAACAACTAAGAGCCCTTCCTTCTTCGTTCTGCATATCAAATGTTCCGTTAATATATCAAATCATTGTAAAACAGGTTTTCAAAATAAAAATAATAATTCTGAAAAGATTTGGATGATCTACAACAAAAATGAATGGATGAATAAAGTAGGAGCCTATCGCATGATTCTATGAATTTTAATTTTTCCTTTTTTATTTGTTCATTTATGATTCATAGAAAGCAGGCATACTCATTACCGTCGCTTTTCCATATATGATTATATAATACAATAGTCGCAAATTATCAAAGGTTTTTTTTATTTTATCTATTATTAGTTTCCATAGATTATGCATCAGTTGTTGCGAGTGCAATCAGACAAATTCAGAATAATATTTGTGTTATATTGGTTAAAGGCTAAGGATATAAAGAAAGCTTTATTTTCGTTATAGGGCGTTCCGATTTGAACAGTTTATATTTCTAAATTCTCTATTGACTGCTTTAGAATCCACTCTCAATGCCAATTTCATTGGGCAAAATATGGTCTTTTAGACCAGTGTGTAGTACATTTTTGGCGCACATGTGAAAACAAAACAAGAGTTTATTTTAACTTTAGAATATAAACGGGAATGAAAATCTCTGCCTTACATGCTATCAAATTGCATATATATTTACACCGTATACGGTACAGTATATGCCCGTTGCGCGCCTGCGCAGCATCTACTCATAACACTATTGTAAGTGAAATTTACCATTGTTTACATTATAATTTAAAAAATATTATTTTCTTTTATCGTATATTAAAAATGCTTTCAACTTTGACTTTATTTATTCTATATTTAAACAATTGCCTTTCATAAAGCCCATATACAGTATATGCTATAGACAAATTTATTTTTAATGATTTAATGATCCTTCAATTTAATTCAATAATTTATTTGATAGCCTGCCAGCTTTATTTATCTTATATGTGTTTTATATGCTTTCTTCTACATTGTATCTTTATTTCATTTGACTATTTATTTCTTTTGCTCTACCTATGTACTGTATCAGTTATATACAAGACCTGTTACAATTTATTATAAACCTTTTTTTATAGCAATATTTATCAATTCACTACAAAATGAACGTATACAATGAAACATTTGTATTATAGAATTTTATGGATTTTTCAAAATAGTCCCTAACAGGTAACTTAAAATTTGAGTTTATATAAGTATTATTATAATATCAATAAAAATAATCCATGGTTGAGTTTTTGAATATACTGTTTAAATGTTTATTTAATAATTCTATATTGTGATTAAAACCCACATATCATACAATATACTTATGCATAGTTTTGCTATTTTATTAAACGAAAGTCGTACAGCATTATTATATTATGCACTATTTTTTAATAAAATCAATTGATCCATTTACAACGAGTCTTCAATTTAATCATCCAATTAATCATTTACTTACAGTATGTTAATGAGAAATAGATAATTTATATTTTTACAAAAACATAGTAGCTTCACGTGCTAAATAATTTTTTCAAAAAATCTACAATAAATAATAAGCATTAATGTTGGTTTATAAAGTTTTCAAATAAAAATCCAAGTTTTCCATGAAACGTGGGCCATTGAGTTCAATACATGCAAGAAATACTTAGGTTATAAGATAAATATTATTTAAATAAACTAGTAAAACGGAATCCGTTGTAGGTCCGAAGCAACAGATTTTGTATATTAAAATCTTTTCCAAAAACAAAAGT